AATATGACACACAGTACATAAGCTCACTCATTTGCATCTCACTGCTGACTGAGTAACCCCCATAAAGTAATGTCTGTTCATGCATGCACAATGCAGTCCCCTTTGATTGATTGCCAAGTAACATCAATGCTGCACAAACAGTTTTTAAGATATTTATAATGGTTGAATACTTCCTGAACACACCTATATACAAATATTTATATGTGTACATGTATAAGTTCATAGATGAACCAGAATCTTTATACAGTTTATTCATACATGAAAATGTGTGATTAAATTATGTGAGATCAATTAGTTTTAATAAAGCTCTAAAAACATTTTAGCTTTAATCATTTGAATGGCCACTAAATATTCTCTTATTAAAATCAAGTTAATATTATGAAATAATTGGCCAGAATATTAACTTCTTATACCTTTTAACAAGATCCCTGTCTGACAATTATTTCTTTTCAGTCAGAAAATCACTGTAATTTAATGATTTGGTTTTTGCACAGAAACTCTAAATTTCAACAAGCTGTGTTTTTTTTTTCTTTTCTGTCTAAAAACTCTGACCTTGGCCATAAAGCCCATTTTATAATAATTGTCAAGTAGGTCAGATTAATAACATTGTTAGCAACAATTAGATACAATTACAATCAGGAAGAGGCAACTGAAAATTTTGAAACATGTATCCTTAAAGAAGGTTACAAACAGACAAAAGTGGTACTCGAGTGGAAGGAACAGCAACACATACATAGATGAAAGAAAGAGAGGTTTATTGTAAAAAGAATACACTACTGAAAGACAGCAAGCTAGTAACTCCTGAAGCAAGTCTGCCAGGTATATTCTGTGCTTACTCTATATATTTACTGATATAGTTAGTCCATATAGGCAATAGGGATTGTGGGACATTCCATTACAACAGAATATATAGCAAGAAAGGAAGGCCTGAAGAATTTAACATTCACAGGCTGTATCAAAAGCTGTGGGTAATATATTTGACAAGTTTAAGCCAATGGATCAAGAAACAGGGATCAAAAAGACATAGTGAGATCATAAAAAAATCAAGCATCGCTGAAAGTAACAAAATAAATGGCTGGCAGGTTAAGTCTTCCTAAAAAAAATACTGCTAAATCAAGATCACTCAGCATTTATAGATGCAGGTTCTCCATTCCTCTCTGTTACTCATGATAATCTGCAGTTCTTCACTGTTGCAATCTTAATTCCTTTAGTAGTTGTACGCTGATCATCATCTACTATGTTTGTCATAATTTGGTTGCTACAGCAGTACATCAACAACAAGTTCTTTTTTTATGATGCTAATAGTGTCCTACAAATCTTAACCTATGCTTCTGTATGGTTTCAAAAAATGGAAGAATTATACCATAAAGTTCTTTACTTGATATGTATTGATGCCACAAGACATTAAGGGCAGTCCAGATCATTCTAGTGGAAGTACCATTTAGTGTCTTTTTCATTGATGAAACAAGTGATTGAGCCACAAACAAGAATGGATTCAACAGCAGTACAGAAGAGGCTAACTTCAATTCTCTAGAAGGCAGTTCAATTTCCATATCCTGTCAAGTTTTTTAAGGGCACCTCAAGCTTTGCTTATTCTGACGGGTATATCAGTTTTAGAGTTTGCAATATAGCTCCCTAGGTATTTAAAATACTTGACAGATTTAATTTGTTTCCTGCTTTGAGAATGTAGGATGTCATCTGTACTCTGGTTATTGGCCATATACTCTGTTTTAGAAACATCGATATACAGATCACTTGCAACTTGCTCTAACTTATGAAGGAAAATATCAGCTTCTTTGATGTGATTAGTGGTAATGACTAACAATAATCTACATGTAATATTCTTGGGACATCTTCACATTAAGTGTTTAATTCAGTGATTGAAAGCAATTATGACTCTAGACTCAAATTTAAAAAAAAAAAATCAGTCAGTTATGTGTCATGCGTAATACACGCTTAGGCAATCATTTATCTTTCAATACATGACTGACAAGACAGATTTTTTTCCCACAGTAGGTTGCCATTTGTTTCTGTGGTAGACTTGTTGCCATCCAAGGCTATAGAACCTGGACTGTCTTGCTATTTAACCATAACTGAGGAGATAAAAAGAGTATTCATACTTTTCCCAAGGGTATTAACACATAAGTGAGTGTAATGGATTTGACTGGAATTCAAACTCAGCCCTCTGATTCCTCAATCCAAGTTGAGGAATTGGAAAATACTTTAATAAAAAAATTTGACATATTCTATTCAATGCTGAAAACTCAAATTTAAAAATTGCATGGAAACAAAAAGGACACTTATATTTATCATCAGAAATATACAGTTGAAATTTCAAGGGCACACAATGAAAATGAAGTGGGCTTGGAAAATTTGATACTCACAAGAGAGATTCATTGCTCAGTGCCATGTTCATTGAGTCAGTCATGTACTGTGATGACCTGGTAATCATCCTATCAGAATCATTTACCAGTTCGATCCACCATCTGCAAACTGGAAATTACCTCATGGTAGACCACACAGCTGTTGGGAGGATATTGTCCACCAGGACTTTCAGCAGATTAATTTGGCACTGGAAGGTGTTCAAACTCTCTGCCAAAACTTTGAGACCTGGAGGGGCAAGGTAGCTCTCATGGGCTCAATGTCATGAGATTTAGCAGTAGGATACATTGAAGGCAAAAAGAAAAGAGGAAAACAATGGATATCCTACCTAGTGAGCTTGAGTAAATGAATGGTTGAGCAAGGTTTAGGAGAGATAAAAAGACAAAATTAATTTAGTGCTACAAAGGACAGGAAGTTGTGGAGAGTCATGATTGCCAGTGTCCTAAAGGGACACTGCACAGAAGTATCTAGCAAAGCTAAACATAGGTAAAATTAAAATTAACTAAATATATGAGATGGCTAAAAATTTTTAAGAAACAACATTTACAGTCTCTCCACCAAATTCCACTGTGTACCAAATTTGCATACACCTCAGTCTGCAAGTATAATATAAATAGGGTACCAAAAACCAGAAGCAAAAGCTAAGATTTGCCAAAGCAACCAAAGAGGACAGATAAAAGGATTCTGTGAATGACTGGCACATGTGTTGTGACAGTTCTTAGCAGTTTCATATGTCATTATAAATTAAACAAAACCACTGCAAGTAACTTTTGAGTAGGATAGTATTCACTCTATATATAAAATATATTTTTATTTTACACATTTACAAATCTACCATTCAGCTGTGCATTGAATAATGTTGCCATATCTGGTCTGGTGCTCCTGCTATTCATCTTGAGGTTCTTGACAAAGAAGGATCTGCAATGTAATCGATCCTGACTTGGCATCTCAACTTCAGTCACTTTCTCACTGACATGACATGGCTTACCTCTGTCTTTTCTACAAATATTTTCATGGCAACTGCTTTGACAAGCTTTTTTTTCCTGGTGCCCTGACTACTTGAATTTAAGAGTGCTACTAGATTGGCATCTAGGTCCCACCCTTTTACTGTTGAAATAGTTAAATATAACTATCACTTCTACTCCAACAGTTTCTTTTCTCACACTTCCCACTGGTGAAACTCCCTTCTGTTTACTTGCTTCCCTGATAACTACAATCTTCAAAAATTTAGATGCAATTTAAATCACCATCTTCTACCTTCTTGAATCCCATCCATCTTTTATAATTTCCTCAATCCCCGCCCCAGTCTTTTCTCTAACTTCTCACTTCTTTGATCTCTATAGTGAAGAAAACAGAGACTTACCTCGTCAAACCAAGCAACAGTGCATCACGTGTATTCTACGACGGAAAATGTGGGGAAAAAGAAAATTACTTACCAAACAAAAGGGCACATATTCCGCATGACATGCTGAAAATGGAATATTTGAATTAAAAAACAAGTCCGTCGCAGGAGTTGCTATAAAAGTATTTTGATATGCAAATTACTGAACATCCTCTCCCAGCTGTCGACAAATGGAAAAAAAAAAAATGTTTGACCGATAAAAACAGTTGGTATTCTCAAATTGAGAGACAAAATTTGGGTATTTTGGCTTCCGCGTTTGTTAGAGAGGGAGTTATTTTTCTGACTGGTTACACACATTGTGATTTGTGAGATGGTACCGGCGAATTGAGTTTTCAGCATTTCTTTCTGCCTCTGATATTCGAGTCTGTACTTACAGTGATTTTTTTTCTTTGTGTTGTGGAAGTAATCTGCGATAAATACTTCCTTTGCTTTCAGAATGCTTACAATCTCTTTAATCAATGATCTGGCACTTTTTTTGAATTATCTGTCATTAGTTCATTGAACAGCTACAAGGACAATACCACACACATTGTTTACAATTTTCTGCAATAAATGACAATAACAGTATATTTTGGTGATATGGTCTTTCTCATTCCTTATATATAGCTAAATATTTACTCATTCAGGAAAGCCACCTCATGTGCATGAAACAATAAAAACTTTGTTTGGAAGCATTAATGATGGTTTATTACCTGTTTTAAGCTTTGTCCTACCTTTTGACACAGTAATATCTATGTGGAATGAGCTAGCAAGACTATGTTTACACAAGTTGTTTTTAGTCTGTGCTCCAGCAATGTCCTGGTCCCAAGGGAGCTGAATTAAAGAAGTTGGACAGTACTTTTTTGCTAACTCCACAACAGAAGAAGCTGTGGATAGCTATGATTGCCTGATATCTTAAAGGGCCATGTCACATAAAGAATTACACCTGATGTCATAATGATAATTGGAAAAGAATCTTTGATGCATTTTCTAAAACTCAGGTAAATATTTTTGATCCAGTTCATGATAAACTTGTAGGATTCTTTTTTTAGCCCAGGAAATTCAATGAGATATAAAGGCATATTATTCATTGCATAGAAATTGCATAAAAGTTGAGTTACAATTATTGCAAGCATCTTCAATAAATGCAGACATGAAGGCTCCGATTGATTCTTATAAATATTGTTTAAAACAAAATTTAATTGAGGCTCTAAAGTGTTAAGTATTTACACCGGACATGAATTCTTTATTGCAGGCTGCTAGAGTTTGACCTGACCTCTTTTATTTTTTTCCAATCTATTTAACAAAGTTTGTAAACAAGACACTTATAAAAAAAAAAAAAAAAAAGAACAAGTATTTCTCATAACTTTTTTCATAAAAAGAAAGAAATCTTGGCTATTTTTATGACACATTTAATTGGTATGTATAAAAATTTGATTCTTGCAAAATATCTTCTTTTAAACAACTGTAAAATCTCTCTCTCTCTATATATATATATATATATATATAATGTGTCTGTGTGAAAATTCCAAATACTATAAAAAAACTATTGGGTCGTTAATGTAGATAAGTAATTGTGAAGGTGAGTGAATGAATGTGGAAGGGAAAAAAAAAGATTTGTTTGCTCATCATCACAATTACTTCACCAACATTAACCAGGCAGTGGTTATATATATATATATATATATATATATATATATATATATATATACATAGGGAGGTTGTTAATGTAAGACTAATAGCAGATAAGTGTATGACAAAATAGAAAAAAGTACCTCATGAAGGAAGTTCACCAGAAACAAAACATATCACTAAGATGTCTTTCCCATTTTCTCATTCAATTACCCTCTCTCACAATATATATATATATATATATATATGGTGTATGTGCACATGCTTTTTTCTGCCTTTTTCTACTCATCTTCCATTTATTCATAATGGGTTTTTGTCAATTTACTCACATACATACACGCAAAAAGAAATACCTGTTATTTGTTGTGTACAGACGAAAGTACAGGGTGGCCCGAAAGTCTTGTCACCTCTACATAATATAATTTTCTATTTCTGATAACTGACAAGAGCCCCTACAGTTTCTAAGAGGGGATTAGATTGACAATACTTACAGACTGTCATGTATATTCCTATTTGGTAAACATCCAAAAAATGATTAAAATATCACTGAGAATTAAATATAATTGTTATAAAAACTTTTCTAATTATTTTGTGCTTTCAATCTCTGGATTTAATATATTTTGGTAGTAAACGCTTTTAAGTCAAAAGGTTAAGTTTTGAAATACAAAAGTTGGATTAATGAGGCTTGATATTTCATAAGGAAAACACACTAAGGAAAATTAAAACTGATTTTAAGCAAATCAAAAACGTCTATTTTTATCTCTCAGTTTTATATTTACTCAATGTGACTAAATAAATTTCTGCTCTTTTGTTCATCCTTAAACTTGCAAGACACTACCCTTTATAGTAAGCAATTGAAGATTACATATTTTTATATATTGAATATGTCTTCTTTAGAAACCTCTTTTGGACAAAGTTTAGCACCTATCTACACACTTCTGACATCCCAGAATTAAATTAATTCAAACCTTTAAATATTTAAAAACTATTATGTTGTTAAAGACTAAATTTATTTAATACTAAATGATAATTGCAATTTTATAAAAAATGAGATATTGACATTTTAATGCAAGAAATGTCATGTCATTATTTTCCTTTAATTTATTAGTTTTTTTTACACATTTATTAAAGAATGAAATCATGTTCTTGATCTTACAAGTTTAGTGTGTCAACTACTGTGACATGGAAAATCCACTATTAACCAACAGTTATCAGCACAAAGTGGAATACTGGAGCTGAGTTCAAATTGTGTCCTAGCCTGTGGCATACCTTTTTGCATTAATATATAATAAATATGCTGCAGATTTTATTTTTTGCAGTAGTAGAGGTTTATCCCGTGTTCCCTGTTTATGATTGGTTTACAGTTCCTTTTAAAGTGTTTTCATTCTCTTTTACACCCAGTAGCCCCTTGCATTTAATTGAAATTGTCTTGCTTGCAGTGAACTGATTAAGAAGAGATCTTTAAAAACATATTCTGAAAATAAATTTATTACTTACACTAAAAATATACAGTGATGTGTAGATAGTGCCACGGTTATCAGCACCAAATGGGATACTGGAGCTGAGTTCAAATTGTGTCCTAGTCAGTGGCATGCCTTTTTGCTTTAATACCTTTGGGAAAGACATGAATGCAATCTTCTCCTCCAATCTGTGGGTGAAATAGCAGGGTAGATTGGGCCTTGTAGCCTTAGGTGGCTGTCAGACTAAGAGAAGGAGAAATCTGAATTCATTGAGAAACCACTATCTTTTCCAATAATTAATTTGTTTTTTATGGCTTATCAGACTTTTCTGGGTTATTTAGATGAAATATATTTTGGATTGTAAGAATAATTCTTTTGTTGCAAGTGAATATTGCATTAACAATTTTTTTTGTCTTCCATTCACACAAGCTCATCAGGTAGATGGCCTACTGTCTTCTCTTGTCCCTTTTACCTTTAATGTGTCCTGTGAGTTAAATTCTCCAGACCCTCCTTCCTCATTATGTGTCCTAGAAATTTCAATTAACTCTTTCTAATTCTGAGTATGGGTCTTTTTTGTTTCCATTCTTCTTAATTTTTCCTTTAAACGTTTTAAATTTTTCTTTCTCAGAATGTGATCAATACTTTCAGCAAAGTGATCAATAATGACCGATGTTCATTTGTTGGCAACGTTACTGTGGGAAAGGACGTCTCTCTTACTCAGCTCAGGAAGGCCTATACAGCTGTCGTCCTGGTAAGTTTGAGCTTTTTTCTTTTTTCAGATATATGATACTATTTAATTATAGTTTGAGTTTTGACTCTTGTGATAAACCTTTAAGCTTGAAATCAGAATGTTCTAAGATCAATACATGGAATTTTACTTTCTCAAATAATATAAGTAATATAATTAATAAGTAATAATAATATATATATATAATATATATTAGTAATAATAATATCTCTATCTATAAAAGGCTGGATGTGTGTGTGTGTGTGTGTAATGAATGCACGGCTGCAATTTTCGACGGAATTTCACCAAAATTTACATGCACATGCTCCAAGTTAGTGGAAAGGCCAAAACTGACTTTGCATTTCCCAACTCACATCGATAGTGGAAATAATCAATTTTTTCATGCTTCTACAGCAGTTTTTATGTAGTTTGCGGCCATTTTGTACCAGCCAGAGTGAGAGCCAATAGCTGGCTGCCACGAATAAGCAGGAAGATTCTATTGGCCAGCGTGAGAGCTAACAGCTGACTGACACGAATGTTAACTAGCATGCTAGCATGCAAAAAACTCAATAACTGCATTCATCAAAAGTGGGAAAAATTTAAATCTGCATGGCACTTTACTCCAATTGGCTCATTCGCTTTGCTTAAACTCAACATTGATTCTGATTCCGCAGAACTGGGTTGGGCGTGAAAAAGTATTTGTTGTTAACATTCTTTTTTCATTCAGTTTTTCCAGTCATGATTCCTTTTTTTAAAGCTGATCGTTTTGTGTTCATTTTTTTTAGTTCTTTTTTCGTAACAGATTTAATGTTTAGTATAGAGCTTAGAAAAAATTTGCAGTGTGAGATAGGCAAGAAGTAAGGCATGTAGCAACATCAGCACGGCAAAGGGCACTCCTTTAAAGGCAAGGAAGGGCAAAAATATTTTAAGTCAAGTGATAGCGATTGCTGTATGAGTCGTACGATTTTTGAATCAAGCACGGGCAAGGCCAGGCCATGTTGCTAGTTAATAATAAAGTAGAAAAAGTTGAATTGATCAGACATTAAAGTAATCAATTCCAACCACATATTTTCATTTAAGTCAAGGAAAATTGAATATATTTTGAGGATTCTACAGGAAATTAAGCACTGCACACACACACACACGCACACACATATGTTGAAGAAAAACCAAAACCATTGGTAGAACCAACAGACAACTTGCCAAAAAATCTCAAACAACGACTGCAATAAGGAAAAAGAAAAAGACCTAAAGACAAACACCTACCTACTCAGTAAAGGGCTCTATACCTAGATTACCTAGACAGAACAAAATATGCTTGACAATGTTAATTCCTATGAAAGGATAGCCCTAGATGTAATCTGAGTTTCACACTCATGCAATCTTCAGATTATATATAATCTGAATCACACACACACAAAATAAAATCATCCTTGATAATGGTTAAATAAATAACTGAAAGCACTTGGATATACAGAACATTCAGACAATTTCTACATAATTTATATCAATAAAAAAAATTATAAGAACACAAGAAAAATTAAATAATAAACTTAACCTTTGTACCTTGTCAGTCATTTTTAACAAAACTTATATAAAAGAGAGATTGCTGCTGAAATACACAATTATTAAACACACACACACACACACACACACACACACACATATATATATATATATATATATATATATATGAGACAAGGAGGAAAATTTATTAACGATATATTTCACCAAAAGGCATATGCTCTCTTTGGCTTCCTTACGTTAGAATGAAAGAAAGACAAAACTGTGTATGACGAAAGTACATTGGGATCTCTGAGGATGAGAGGAAATCATAAATAAAATGAAATTACATTAGCTTCATCTCCCAATGTCCAGACTTAAGAGAGTTTCATAAAATTCAGACTATGTATGTTGTGTTTTGGTTTGACTATTTATATATGTTGGTCAATGGTGCATTATGGTAAGGTCTATTTTATTTTAACAGTTATTAGGTGGGCAGTAATGGTTATATTTCAAATTATTCTAGAGGCTATTGAGTAGAAATAATTGTGAATCTGAATGTTGTTACTTACAACTATTTTATAATATTATTTTTAACTTTTTAACTCATTATTTATTACTTTATTATTTGTTGTTGTTTATTATTATTATTATTGTTATTTTATTTTCTTTGATTTTTAGTGTGTACACATTTCTTTCCGGGCCCCACCCAGAGACCTAAAGTTAGAAATGTCATCATGACATTTACATAGATAAAGCCCTTCGTAAGGTGTGGGCTGTACTCATAAGAACAATTTTTTTGTATTTCTTTAAGGCATGGGCTTCCAGGAATCCCTTCAATTAGTCTATTGGAATCTTTTTCAACCAATCCAAGGGCTCCAACTGCAACAGGGATTGTTGATGTTTCCATGCGCCACATTTTTGAGATTTTAATTTCAAGCTCCTTGTATTTTGATAGCTTTTTGAAGATCTTCAAAGACACATTGCAGTCTACAGGGACTGCCATATCAGTAGAGAGGCACTTATTTTGTTTGTGGTCTCTAATAACAATGTCTGGGTGGTTAACTTTGATTTTTCTGTTTGTGTGTATTGTGTAGTCCCATAAAATTGTAACAGGTCATGTCTTTGTATCAGGTCTGGGTGGTGTTCATACCAATTTCTTTCAGTTTCCTTCCCGTAGAAGTTGTAGATTTTCCAGTGCAGATATTGCCCAACTCTGTCATGCCAGGTTTTATATTCAGTGGGTGCCAATATTGTGCAACCTGATACAAAATGATCAATTGTTTCTGGATATTTATCACAGAACCTGCATTTTGGGCTAACACAATATTTTAGTATATGTGCTTAATAATTTCTAGTTAACAAGCATTGGTCCTGTGCAACAAGGATAAAAACTTCAGTTTCAGCTTTTAACCCTGCACTACGTAGCCATTGATGGATACAGGGTTTCTCCACTTGCTTGGAATGGGCAGAGTATTGGCCATGAAGCGATTTATCTTGCCATTGTTTCTGTATCTGGTCAGTTGCATTTGTCTTTGCTTTCTTTTTTTATCTATTTTACAGCTTCAGTCGGTGTATTACATTTACTTGTGTATTTATAATTTGTTAATTTCTTTATTTAAATTTTGGGTTTATTTTATCTTATTTGTTTAGTTTTTAGCTATAATTACCTTCCCAGACCAACACAATTTACTAAATAAACAATCAAAACTTATTTCAAAATACAGATATGAAAACAAATTTTTGCTACATTACATAAAGATTGAAAACTAATAACAAATATCTTGTAAAATAGCACAATGAAAAAAGCAAATATATGCACTATGTACAATGCAGATAATGTAACATATTTTAGACAAAGCCAATACTTTAAACTAAACCTGTAGATTGCATTCAAGTATGAAACAGACTATCGCTGCTTGATGTTAACCCTAGTGTCCACTTTTATATTTATGTTTTTATTTCTGATATTGAGCCATAATTGAGAGGATGAATTTTTGTCTACTTCTCCTTAAAGAACTCAAAAATGCAAAACAGACACTAGTGGTTTTTCTAACTACTTCATTGACTACCAGATTAGACTATTACTTTCCAAAGTAACTAATCATAATGCTGAACATACAGACAATAACATTAACATCTTCTACAAAAGCTAAATACATGTCAACTATAAGCAAGATGAATCTTCACTTAGAAATATCATAAAGAAATACACTACTGCAATCAAACCAAACAAAAAAAAATTAAATTAATTATCTATTACAAAAGATTTGAGATCAAATGCCCCTTAAGGAACTGTGTTCCTGATCAAACCAAACTCATAAATAATTACATCAATCACGCTACTACCTGCTTATCCAGACAACTTATGTTATACCTATCTGACCACAGCTCCATTAGAACTCATTTAAACACACACACAAAACCTACCAGACTCTATCCAAAACATACTAGTAAAAATACAAGCATAATAACTTCATTCACATATAAAAAAAGATTAAAAATAATGGAAGTCCTAATAATAAAAAAGAAAAGCCAACTCTCAATAACATTAACTATAAACACAGTCACAACGTGCTGACTGTGTTTGGAAAATGGAACCTCCCTATAACTCTAGATACATACATAACAGAACCAATACATTCAGTTAAAAGTAAAATAAAATCATCCTTGATAATAGCTAAAAGTATAGCTAAAAGATTATAATTAATGCAAAATGTAGCTCCTCCATGTTCTGAATAGTTTTAGAAATCTTTCTTCCATTGATTTTGTTGTATTTCTTCATATGAGACAGATTGCACGGCTTCCAGATTAGCATTTAAAAATCCATCTTAGCTGATAAATCGCTATTCACTAACGTAAATTCAGAATGCTCCACAAGATTTTAATCAGGTTAAGGTTAAGTCAACAAGCCAACATTAGATGAGTAACTTTAAACCATTTACTTCAGTAATTATTTTCTTTTATAAATGTATGGAACATTATTGTTCATAAAATTTAACATTCTGAAAGCATTTGGCTTCTTCTTGAACCATGGCTCCATGTGTGCTTTCAAAAACAATCACTATATGTTTGAGCTGGAACTCACCATAGGTCTACTACTCCATATTACACTCCCTTCCTATTGTTGCTGATATCTAAACCTGTGAGACCAGTTTCCTCCAGTAGTCACTGAGGCATATGACACATTGAGGGTAATACAGCACTCATTGGTGAAAAGAATGGTAGAAAAATCATTGTTCTTATATTGTTGCTTATTTTATTCAGTTTTACTTAAGCATGTCTTTTAAAGGTGGGGATCAGTTTCAAATTTTGCCAATTGTTTTAGAATCCAACATCTCATGTTTTTTTGTTTCCTTTCTGCCACAAAATCTTAGTTTAATAATTTAAAATAGATGAATATTTTTTTAATAAATTTTCTTTTGATCAAAGACGTAGATTAACAGAATATAGTCCATAAGTTCTTCTTATCAGACTTACATATGTCAAGGATATTCAATGAAATTCTTCACAATTCAGTA